GCGAGGAGGCGTCGGCGCGGCTCGGACCTGGGCAGCGCCCTGCGGCTGCGGGGTCGGCCCAGCAGAAGGTGGGAAGTTGAGGGGAGGGTGGCTTAAACCCCGCGAGGGGGCCAGGGCGTGTGTGGAAAGGGACTAGGCAGAGGGCGGCTCTCTGCCCCTAGCAGAGGCTTAATAAAGGCTGGTGTGTTTTAACTGGCTGGGGACAGTCAGAGCTGTGTCTAATAGAGACATCTGCTGGCTGGGTTTAAAACTGTACCTCTGCTCCCCGAGCCGAACGGGGGGTGCAGGCTCCACGGAGAATACATGGGGAACTCTGGTCAATTGCAGGTACAGAAGAAGAAAAAAAGGAGAGTGGTTAAGCCGGGGATCAGGACGCTTAAAATACCCTGGGCTCAAAACGGGGAGAAGGGCGCTAAAATTAAGGCTTACTGCTCCCTTTTGGGCCTGGCTGTCTGCTGTTGTGAAGAGAATGAGCAAATTATATTCCTCATTAAAGTAGTGGGCTCGTAGCACTGGATAGGAAAAGGTGGATAGTACCTATCAGAGCCACTGTATATTCTCTTCCTAAAGTACTGGAGTCCAGGAATCCTGCTAGGCTTGTACTGGACTACTACTATAGGACAGATCTAATTGAGGCTACAACATTTACTTTACTCATAAAACAAAATTCTGCTTCTCATTCCAGTAGTTACTGCTTCAACCTCAGTTCCCCTTTTATCTCTTTTTCCCTGCTGCTGACTCTGCACCTAATTTTGTTGCCCCTTAAGCTTGACCTGCTTTCCAGAATCTATTTGTCTGGGCTTCACCTTATTCAAACTTACTCCTATAACCACACTTCTGTAGCTTTATGAAACATTTTAAAAACACACCTATAACAGTAGATATATCCTTGCCTAAACTGAATAAATCTGCAGTAATATTTCTATAGCCTGCGTCCTTCCTTGCCTCTCCTTCTTCTGGTCTTTTATTCTCCAATTTTGTGTTACATCCGTAATGCCAGCTCTGTGTTCACTCTCCTAGAATAAATCCTTTAATCCAGTAGTTTGCAGAGCACTTTCTTATGGTCCGTGGAGCGCTGACAGATCACATGGCTTTTCTCCTTATTAAAAGACAACTAACATGCATTTAAAACTTTGTTAATATTGCTTTTCCACATAAGCAACTCTTTGTAATTGCCAGAGGGATGCTATGTGGACAGAAATGAGGCCTTAATCCAACAAGATAATTAAGTATGTGCTTAACTTCAAGCATTGACTTCAATGCACATGCTTAAAGTTTTATTACTAGTTCAGATCTTAAGAGGCAAACTGCCAAATTGTGCATTAAAGGGGAGATGGCTCATTACCCAATATAATGGGGCATGGTTCCCACCTCTCATAAGCACCCCCTTCTGGTCAGGTGTGCAGCCTTTCCGTCTACAGTGACCAAGACCATTTTTCAGTGACTCATCCCTCCAGTTGAGTCACATACACTATTTATTAAACAGAACAGAACACCTTCCAGGGATGTCTTTGACTCATCCTCGCCCTGATATGGGGCTTAACCCCCTTCCTACAAGGCTTCCTCCCTGGAAACCCTGTCTTCTTACAGCCCTCCCTGTCCTCAGTCCTTACTCATTCCCAGCAAGCAGCCAGGAGCTCCTTTTTTGCAGTCCCAGTCTGAACTGCGCTGTCCATGGTCCTGGTACTCTTTCAGTCAGCCATGAACACAACCCTCTCTCTCCTCCAGCTTCTGGCACCAAAGGACAGGTGCTCACTCCTGCAGTTCCTTTACTGGTTGGTCTTTGCAGCCTCTCATATTGTATGCTCCTCCACAACCACTCTAAGTGGTAGGGAGAACATCTCTTCTGTCTCCTTCTCTGTTGTGGTGTGACAAGGGCCTCTGGGCCTAATATATCCGCTTCACACACTATTAAATTGCAGTTTACTCTGGTTTAATTTAAACATCAATTTTGAAATTACAAGAGAGTATCTAAAAATAAGTAGCCAAGGAGGGTCCATATTATCATTTATATTTTATATTCAGAAACACATTGTAGCAGGAAGATCTGATGACCTTTTCTTCCTAGTATCACTTACAAATCATTCTCATTTCTCCTAGATTATCAGTGACCTTTTAAACTTCTCCTCCACTAGGAAAATCCCTTCCACCTGGTGAGAGTTAGGTCCTTCTGTACTGCTGGCAGACCAGGTCACATCAGTATAAATTCAGGCCAATTCACTTGTGTATTAGTAAAAATCAAAGCAATTGCTAAATATATATTGAGTGTTTAAACTCCATAAAACTAATGTGATGTTACATGTACTGTTTTCTTATCTATAGCCTGTTATAATACAGCAAAAATTTATATTGTAATCTCCTGTAATTAAATAACTTGGACATCAAAGCAGCTTTGGAAATGCTAACAAAGAACTTTAATCAGAAAATGTGCTAATTCCAAAGCATATGGCCATTATGATGACTGAGGATCAGAGACTTCAAGTGTATTCAGGGCATCCCCGTTATAAGTCGCCCCAGTATACATCCGTTCCATGCTAAAGTCGTCGATGCTTGTAGGAACTGATGCTTTATAAGTTCTCCTGTTTCCCGCTCTTAAGTCGTGCATCCCTCCCATCCCAATTCGCGCAAATGGAAGTCAGCTGTGAAGAAAAAATTCCCCTCTTTAAGTTGTTTCACTATATGTTCAAGTTTTTTGGAATGTATCTTGGACTTACAAGCGAGAACGGCCTGTTCCTCACTTATCATTCAAGGAAAACTCATGTAGTTAGAGACACCGTCAGCTTGTCTTCGGTCAGAAGAAGATAAAAGAATAGATACTAGGAATAATCCTTCATTGCTGAATTGTTACAGAGACATATGCCAGATGCAAAATAAAGAGCCCCAGAAAGAATATAGGTGCCTCAAAAAAGCCTTTGGAAATTAGCAGTTTTTTACATCACTGCCACCATTTGGAATTACAAATTCTGATTCACCTGTACATATAATTTTGCCTGCTTTAACCTCTTAATGACTATCATATCCTTTTCTTAGCTAATAACTCTATAGTTGGTTTACTAAAGAATTGGCTGCCAAGATTGTCTTTGGTGTGCAACCTGGAATATTAATCAGTCTGTGCTGTGACTGATCTCTTGGGACTGGGAGCAACCTGATGTGGTATGATTTTAGGTTTAAGGTTCATCACAAAGCCCCATTTGTCTGGATGGAAAAATGGCCTGGAGAGTACCCTTGGATTCCCTCTCTTATTCTTTGCATGTACACCAAGTGCCTCCCACTTCTTATCACAGCGCTGCTGTGGACTAATCTTCAGTCAGAAACAGCAGGTAGTTCTGTTATTTCACTGATCTACTCGGAGCTCTGTTATTTCACTGATTTACTATCTTCTTTGTAGCTGCATAGGGAAAGGTTTGCTGGGAATCTGTCTCACTGGTGCTGTCGCATCTATTTCTGCACCCAGCAATGCAGCACCATTGAGGGGTTCAAAGAGCCCATCACTACTCTATAACACTGGCTTCTACAGGTGTCTTAGACTTGCTCCTAAAATGGCAAATATGATAAGCACAGTTAGTTAAAGTTTAAAATAAGACACAAGCATATCATAAGCTATCAAAAGAAAGCCACTTCTTTTTTTATAACAGTGATCCTTCAGGTGCCAAAGGGAAGGGATTAACAGATTTCTGCAGCTGGAGTGGACAAATCCAAGGCACCTTCAACATGGAAGAGTTTATCCTGGATCTTCATGGATTGATTTTGGAAAAACAAAGAGGTTATGGGTGATATTTCTCAACATTTGACAGTATGTAGTATTAATCTTATTTTTTTTTAATTTGAACTTTTAAGGGCAAGTTCACCATTGTACCAAAGCAGCATGAAACTGTCAGATCACACCAAACAGTTAAGCTGACCTTATCAGGGTAACCAAAAAGCAGCTAAATGAAACTGATGAATAAGAACATAAGAACAGCCGTACTGGGTCAGACAAAAGGTACATCTAGCCCAGTATCCTGTCTGCCAACAGTGGCCAATACCAGATACTCCAGAGGGAGGGATCACAACAGGTAATCCTCACATGATCCCTCCACTGTCACCCTCCTCTAGAGAAACAGAAGCTAGGGATACTATTCCTACCCATCTTGGCTCATAGCCATTGATGGACCTAACCTCCATAAATCTGACTCTTTTTTGAACCCCGTTAAAGTTCTAGCATTCACCACATCCTCTGGCAAGGAGTTCCACAGGTTGACTGTGCGCTGAGAAACAAATGGAAGTTTTTCTTTAGTTTTAAACCTGCTGCCTATGAATTTCATTTGATGACCCCTAGTTCTTATATTGTGGGAATAAGTAAATAACTTTTCCTTATTCA